TTCAGCGAGCGTCACGACGGTTTGGGTCTGCCGCTCGCTCGGCATGCCCAGACAACGCTTTCCTCTATGGCTGCGTGTGCATCGCTGATTTTCTGAATCCAGTTGGGCTGAGCTGCAATGCAGAAGTAATGACTAAAGCCTTGCGTCTGTAACCAACAGCGCGCTCTCTAGGTGCAAGCAAATGGCCATTCCTTTATTAACACATTTAAGAGCTGGGTTTAATAACATGCTTAATAATTGCTATTTTTTAATTTTGTTCCCTAAGTCCAGTTCTGCTTCCTGAAGGTGGCACATCCAAGATCAGAACCTGTTTTTATTGTATTTTTAATAAAAACACCTAATGAAAAAGAGTATCTTCAGAAATCCTGATCATCGTACAAAAACAAAGCAACAGCCCACGTGCTGCACCAGTGGAATAAATGGCACTGTTAGACCCCTGGTCCTTCAAATAGAGACGTTTTCTTCTTCAGGCTCTATATGACTTAGGCGTCAAAGCTCTAAAATTTAGCATTCAACTTCAAAACTTGTAATTTAGAACTGCCTCTGCACTGAAATAAGGTTATGCAGTAACTTAGGCCTGCGTGGTTGTAAGCACTACCTTCAGGTCCAAATTCTCAGTCTTTTCCTAGATTAGGGCCATATCTGCAAGTACTGCCATAGGAAGATCTCCCATGTGTATGAAAGATCTTTGGACTCAATTGTATTAATGACATTGAACAAACCTAGAAAGTCCAAAAGCAAATATTGAAGATACATTTTGGTAGAATTTGGTGAAAACTGGCATTGGCAGTTTTCAGACACTTTAGAGATTATATTTTTTAGCTGTGTTTCACATATTTTTATCAGAGTTTGTTGTTTGTTGGCTTTTTTTTAAAATACAGCTCAAGTTTAGCCAGACTCCACATGCAAATCAAATTCTGCTAAAACTGCCATGTGTTTTGGGGACCATACAAAACCTCTGACTTTCTTACATTACCTTCATAAACCCCATCTGTCTAGATAATACCTACAATACTTTTCAGAAAGTCCCCTTAAAAAAGAGAGTGAGTTTAGATTTTTTTAATGGTCATTTGCCCTATTTTGACGTAAGAAAATCTGAGAGACTTAGCAGGAAGATACTACCAGCAGAGGTCTCCAAGAACCTGGTTAATACTTTTTCCCATGTAATCAGATAAAAAAAAAAATTAAGATTACTCAGACAGGTAACAACTTTACGTATCTCCTTTGGATAGGGACATGGGCCAGAGAAAGGTCTGAAAGGATAAATTAAAAAAAATCATATCAAAATGGTAAGATCAACATACAGTTGGTATGATTATACCTAAAATATTGCTATGTCTACCATGACACGATGCTGGATATACACAGAGAGCTGAGTATGTTTTAAAACTGTGTTCAGGCTGTGACAGATGTGCGCTTAATCCCAAACCTACCGCACTGCACACTTCCCTTCGCACGGTGCCTACAAAGCACAGAAGAAAGCTGAAGAATTTTGCACGGCATCCTAACTCCAAGGGACTTGCAAAAAAAGCAGAAAGGTGAACGGAATGTAATGACAACACAGAAGCAACAGCAGCAGCTGAAAAGGAGAGGCAAGCACTGTTTACTTCTCTGACTGTCCCTCCTGCCTCTGTAGTATTTTAAGCTTGTTTATTATCTGTATCTAAAGAGATATGAAAGGGAAAGCTTTTAAATGTAGGAAGATGAAAGTCAGTTCTGTCATCTGGAGTAAGAACTTGAACAATTCCATCGAACTGAGACACCCTGCGCAACCGCAACGGGTTCAGTGGCTCAAGGACATTTGCAAATTACTCATGAATTCACTTATTTACTATTCTAACAGCATCTAACTCATAATTTTGAAGAGAGTCTTATAATACGGTAAAAAAGAGCTGTATAGAACCACACAGATCCATTTGCCTTTTTTGCAGTACTGTTTTACTGCTTTCCCACATGAAAACAAAAAAAATTCAGACAAAACCAACTAAAAGTAACCTGTAAAACAAGAAAACCCATGAAAAGTAAGGTGGGCTCGATAACAGATAAATGTATGCTATGTAAAAAGGAAGATAACTCTTGTGTGAGGAGGAAAGGAAAATCAGTATTTATCCTTATTTCAGGCAGACTCCCCAAATAGGGACAATTCTCACCCAACGCAGCAGAAGACTTCACCTGTCCAGTCCTTCCGCTGTACTTTGCAGGTCGCACATCTGACCTCCTGCTCTAAGTAAGGGTGCTGAGCTTTAAACATGTGGTGCTGGAAGTGCTGGGAGCTGCCACCCCCGCTATTCACGTCACTCTCTTTGGTGCGGCACCCGCGAGCCGCAGCCTTGCACCGGGCGCCGCTCTTCACCCCCTCCACTTACTTTAACCGGTTAAGCTTTCTGTCCTAAAGCTATTCATGATGCAGACAACTACAGAAGGAGCATCAGAGGTCAAAAAACAAATCTCAGCGAAAACCGGAGGAGTCCTTTGTTTCACAGGAGCTTAGCTCTCTGCTGCTCTTTGGGAGACTTTTCTAATTAGGTCAACCTCTCCTTTCAACAGTTCATTTCAGAGAATAGCAGGCACGCTCTTGACTTAATCTTGAATAATACACAAGGGTTGGTTCATGCAGCAAATATGTTTGCGCCACCAAATGAGAGTCGCCATAATATAATGAAATTTGACAGCCTCCCATTGGGGATCATACCAAGACACGGCAACGTGACACAAGATTTCAAGCACGATAATTAAAGTAATTCAAATAAGGATATGAAACCAGCTCCACGTCACAACATTTTCTGGTATAGCGACATTATTTGAGATAATGACAAGGTTTAATTTGTGACTGGTAGTAGTGTTCTAGAAAAAGTCCTTTGGATCATTTCAGTGGCGCTGACCGAAGACAAATTGTTTCATATGATGGGTCTGGAAATATTTTGGCCCTATTTGGAGTACTTGGATATTACTGGCCTTGGAAACATCCTGGAGGAAAAATCTGGTACTAAAGAAAAAAATTACACGGAAGCTGATTAAGAATTCATCTGAGTTGCAAGAAAAAATCATATGCTAAATCTATAAAGTAGAAGAAAAAGCTTAGAAATATCAGCATGACTCTTACATAAGGATAGCTTTAAAGAAAAATATATCTTCCTCCTAGGTGATGAGAGCTGTCTGGAATTTGTACTCAGGGGGACAGAAGAAAAATGATGGCAGCAGTTAGAAAAAAACCCGTTTACCTTTGATCACCTTCCAGTCTTCACAAATGCAAAGTGGGGCATTTTAAACCAGGTGATTAGGAAAGTATGCCCAAATATACTCTTACTTCTCTAAGACCAAAAAATCCAGAATGAATCTGTCCTTCATTGTAATAAACTGAAAGGCAAAAGTAGGCACGGGAAAGCTGGACCAGAAATCATGTCCTAAACGGCATTTGAAAATGAAATGACACAGCTGGTGATGATGCATTGCATCAGAAATGAGTAACAAACCCAAAGAATTATGGGAGCAATGTGAGAAATAAACCAGAAATAAATCTGTAGGACTTTGCAATCGTCTGTGAGTTCAAAACAACCAAAAAGACTAAAGCAAATGAGGTACTAATACATATACAGAATCCAATTCTCGGTCGGTGTATATTGATTTCAGTGTTCCTAAGCCAATTTATAGCAGCTGATGACCTAGTGCAGGCTGTGTAATTCATCATTAATGGCAGATGAAAGGCTGAATGACTTGTCCATTACTATATCTATTCTAAGGAGATTGAGACTGAGCCCAGGATCAGAAAAGTCTAAAGACCAGAAAGCCAAGCATAAGAAGTAAGAAAAACAGATGGGAAAAATACATGAGTAATTAAAAATAAAGAATGCGGCGAGTGTATAAGGTTTGTGCAGGCAAATGCACACGTCATCCTGGTCCAAATGGGGATAAAGCTTCTGTAAACAAAACCCATATGTCCCTAATTTGTTATCCTTCCCAATGATCACAGGAATATGAAACCAGACTTTAAGTTATCGCTTTTCCTCTTCTCTTCCTCTCCTCCTGTTAATCCCTTCCTCCTGACCTCTACTGCCAATTAAGGACTATGTGAAATCTATACAACTCTCAAAGCTGTGCAAACCCTCCGCCAAAGTCATTTGCTTGAATGTTGCACCTAAATGATCTCCATTTGTCTGCGTCTTTAGAAAGTTCACCAGATACTGCCGCTTGGGCAGGACGTCTCCTTTCTGCCTCTCTACAAGACTCACCATAATAAACCAGCCTGGGAGTTCCGCTTGGGACTAAAATATCAGAGGAAAAGAAACATTTGAAAAATGAAACATTTGAATGAAACATCTGAAAAATTCAAAAGCAAATTTGAAGGAGTTAACCTAGCTTAAACCACTTAAACTGTCCCTACCGCTTATCTACCTCCTGCTCCATAAGCTATTCCGCACCATTACATGACTTTCTCCCCAGTTACACCGGGCACCAAAGGACCGTAGGCATTACAGGCACGTTCGTAAAGACCAGTCCTCAGGGATTTAGTTATTTTTCATCCTTGACGCTCTAGACTGCAGCTACCTAGGGGAGTAAGGGGGGTGTGGGGTGCTCTACAAGTAGCCCTCCCGCTGCTTTTCTCATACCTATTTGTATTTTTGCTTCTCCTGCTAGAGAGCTATCTTTCCAAGCCAAAATGATAATAATTTGAGCAATTCTTCTCAATCTCCTAAAAATTGATTTCTCTATAAGCAGGTTTCCAGCAATCCCTTGGAAAAGGAAAAGTGGAAGAGAAACATGCCCGTTCTCTGTGCAGAAACTTGTTCTGGATGCAAGACTTCCCTTGGGCAGCACATTATTCAAAACTCAGTTACTCCCTCCTGCGCTGAAGTCTGAGAAAATACATATTCCACTGGCAGGACTCAAAACCTCTTCCCTCCGAGCAGGGATTTTCCCCAGGGCAAGCGTAACCAGCTGAGACTGGGCACTGCAACCATTGCTCCCAAGGCCAACCGCCCCTTTCTGGAAGGACGGATCTGCCTGCTGCCAAGTGTTTAAGTGGTGGTTAACCAAGAGTTAAATTGGCACAGTATTCTGAAACAGCACAGGATTTGAGAGCTGTAAATAAAAGGAACATGGAGATGCTTGAAG